ATAAGTAAGTAAAGAATTCAGAATCGTTCTTATAACGTGTGGGATTATTAATGTAAAGTGTTTCTTGGCTACCTGGTTTTATGGATTTTGGTACTCTTGGATAAATTTTGTAAAAGTGGTTTTGGCTGCTTTTAAAGGGCTGTTTAGTAAGTGTGATTGTTGGTTTGTGTTAGGAGTTATTCTGTAGTTGCCTTCTTATTTTTCTGTATTTCTTTAATTTGTTTTATTTGCTTTTTTAACTGGCGAGTAAAAAGTGTCTGCATAATTGAATGCTTGAATGGTTCCCGCCAGAAATGCGAAACGGACGCACAAAATCAATAGACAAAGCCTAACTTGTACAGATGACGATCCTCAGCCGCCGATTCCTATCCAACATGGCGCATGTTGCTATTCAAAACATCGGTAATATTTGCAGTTGGAAATTGTTTAATTTTTATGAGAAAATGGACACAAAATGGCATCAAATCACTCCCGTGTTTTCACACTTGAAGAGACAATTGAACTTGTGCAAGCTGACGATGATTCTGGCTGTGAACTAGCCGATGATGATTTTGGGCACGATGGGACTGAAAAAAGTACACGCCTAAAGGGTTAATTCCACAGTCAGATAGCCCCAAGAAATTAATGACACGTGTTTTTCTCTATACGTTGACACTACTAATACTTGTAAATAATGTAACTTATCTACTTTTATTCTTTAAAGCACACGTAATTCCTATTTAAAGTCTTATAGTACTATTTCAGATCTCGTTTAAAACATAAAAAAATAAAGAAAAAACATTACAATTTCTACATTTTAATGTCATTTTCTTTTGATGAATACTTTAATGAAAATAACATAAGACTTTTGCAAAAAGATATCTAACAAAATAACAACGAAAGTCACACGCTAGGTAATAAGGTCTATGACGATATCACTGGCAAACTGCAATTTGGAGCTGCGTCAACCCTTGTCAGTCTAGCCAAATGGATAGTAAGAGATGACCAGTTACGCCATACACTGGAGCACCGTTATACTCTGGAGTATCTCACCACAAATTCATATGCGGTACCCCCTCGGGCGTGTCGTAGTTTTTACCAGTCTCTTAGGGAATAATAGTAATCACCAAATCCGGAGAACCCGAGAGAAAATCATTAGCAATCAGAAATAAAATAATTAATATAATATAAACTCATGATTGCCCGGGGAATGTCGTAATTGGTCAAATGTCGCCCCCAAAAAATCTTTATATGATAAAAACGTGCTCCTTGGGGCCTTAGGCTCGCTATAAAAGTAATGGTCAAATCCCGCTATTTGGTCAGAAAATAACAGTCTTCATTCTAATCTATCTGTCTCTTCAAGATTAGAAACATATAGTCCTTAGTACAAATATTCTAAAAACCTAACCAAATCTTTCTAGTATTTGACTATGTATCAACGAGAATAATGAATTGGAATTTTGTTGAAAGTGGCTTAAAATGGGGATGTTTTAAGGTGTTTGACTTGTGAGCTTATTTGTGTATTTGAGTGGGAAACAAGGAAGAAAACCAACTCCACTTATACACAAATAACCACTGTGCACGAGAGAGGTATTCGATGTCAGTTAGTTCTGGTTACTCTCATGTATTTGTCTTTCCTGATACTGTAGCTAAGGTCTGTGTGTCTCTATGACCCACCATCCAAGAGAGATTTTCTTTTGAATCAACTTAATAAGATCTCTTCAATTGTTTAGCTTTAGCGCTCTGTTGGTAAATTGAACGTAACGGATACCTTAATTTTACAAATGCGTGTGTTTCTGTTAGCTAACTCCTCAACTTGTCGGTTGCTTATCATCAACCTCGTGGGAGTTCATGTAACTTGAGACTCCGGTCTTGTTGTGGATTTTGTCAACCATTGCGAGCTGACGTATTCCCTTTCACGTCTAAAATACTGTAAAGTGATTCACGTTTCAATGTTTTTACACTGGATGACAATGGTGGTTAGGGCGCTTGACTCGCAATCTGCATGTGCGGGTTCGAATCCCGTCACCACGATCGTTGGTGAAGTGTATCCCAAGAGTTGGCGGTTGGTGGTGTTCACTAGCTGCTTTCCCTCTAATCTATCACTGCTAAATCAGGGACGGCTAGCACAGATAGCCCTCGTGTATCTTTAGGCGAAATTCAAGGAACAAACAAGCTAGATGGAAAGCCAGGAGTCCTCAAAATTCTTTTCAAAATGACTGTTTACTAAAGTAGTTGGAGGTGGGACGAGTGATTGGGATTCAGGGCTGCGGAAAGTCCAAGTTAACATGCCGATGGATACGCTGTGGGACATTATATGTGTTAAGCTATTCGTTTAAGAGTGGCCACATGGGTAGCGACTGCTGCTGACTGGGTGTCCTTCCTCTGGTCATCTGTGTTAAAATAGGAACCGTAGGGACCTCTGACCTGACCGTTTTCTCAATGTCGCATAAGGTGCTGTTCAGATTGAAAATACGAAATTACGATAGAAAAAATCATCTCAAATTTATATCACACCTAAAGTCATATAAAGCTCTTATTAAATATACACAAGATTAATTATCGTTAAAGAATGTCCATTTTCACATTCAGAAGGCGATCGCTGACCTAAAGTACAGCAAAAGGACGGACTCGAGTAGTACAAAGATAACCTAAGGTGTGCTAAAAAAACAACAAAAAACATTCAGATCTCGTTTAAAACATAAAAAAATAAAGAAAAAACATTACAATTTCTACATTTTAATGTCATTTTCTTTTGATGTATACTTTAATGAAAATAACATAAGACATTTGCAAAAGGATATCTAACAAAATAACAACGAAAGTCACACGTTAGTATGACAATCTGGTGAAAAGTGTTGAAATTACCAATGAACTGTTTTACATCGACCAATATTGTATTGCATTCGTGGACATTGGCCCTGATAAATAAGAGAAGTATAAGCAGTGTTAAAATCATACATTTTCTAGCCCTGTTTACGTGTGTTTTTAAATAGCATTTGGCAGTATTTTAACAAACAGCAAAGGGGGAGGAAAGAGTTCTAAATAGCACCTGACCCTCCCAGGTTGCAAACCTAAGTACCGATCCAGAACAGATTCGATGGTGACAGGCGTGCCTAAAGTTGGCTGAAGGACTGTTTTAACATCCTATTATAACTATTGAAGCACAGTCCTAGTTATGATTATTTTTCCTGACGAGCTGCTTGGTACCTGCGATTACTATACACTGTTTTCTCTATACAGGTTACTTCCTTGACCTGATCAGATGGGCAGAGAACAACACTCAATCGTTATTCACTCACATATATCACATTATGGAACCAGATGTGCAGACTATAACGGGTCAGCTTTACAGTGGTTTAAAGGACTTTCTTCAAGGAAAGAACATTGACCTCGAGATCCAACTGTCTGAGTTCTTCACATCTATTTTCCCTCACGTGTATCGGCACATAATTAATGACAACCTTGCTGACTTTGGAGATGAGTTCACCAACTGCTTGCGTAAAGCACAGCCGGATATCAAACCTTTCGGTGCGAGACCTAAAAGCCTTTCTTTACGGGTGGTTAAGTCTTTTGAGGATGTACGAACATTTTTGGAAGCCTTGAGTCTCGGTCTAGAGGTCGTTAATACAACTGACCGCCAGGTGTTTGGGGCCGAGTGCAAAAAGGCTCTGGTCAGGATGACCTATTGCGCTCATTGTCGCGGGTTGACGGCAATTAAGCCATGTAGTGGCTATTGCTTAAACGTAGCTCGAGGTTGTCTCGCGCAAGTTACCGATATGGACCATCCCTGGAACGAATTTGTAACTGGACTAGAGCTCATAGTGTCCGGAATGATAACCGACCATAATATTGAGAAGCTATTAACCATCATGGACGTTAAGATCTCCGAGAGTATAATATACGCAATGGAACAAGGAGGGGAAATCACCACTCAGGTAATCTTTATTTCGTTTTCAATATGTATTGGAATTAAAGTTCGTGAAGAAAAATCTGTTTAAAATTAATCAGTGACTGGTGAGCTTTAAACCATTATATGTTTCAAAAAAAGTATTAATGACATTAGTGAAGGCCTGGAATAGCCTGGTGGTTAGGGGGCGCTCGACTCGCAGTCGTGGGTCGCGGGTTGGAATCCCTGTCAGCAAACATGCTCGTCTTTTTAGCCGTGGAGGCATTACAAGGTGACAGTTGATGATATGTGGCCCAAGAGTTGGCCAGGGGTGGTGTTGACTAGCTGCCTTCCCTCTAGTGATCAATCTACCCCACTATCGGCGTTATTGGGCTGATTATGATAGCAATAACACAACAAATATTGATTGACTCCTTTACAAACTACACCGTTAGGCTTACCAGTACGGCGTAAATATAGCACATTCGGCCAAAATAATTTAGTAAAGAAACAGGTTTTTATCCTGGTGCAACGTCTCTTAATCAGTTTCAATCTGACAGGATGGTCCCATTATCCTAAGAAACTGGGGTGTTCTGACCACATTTTGGGGCAAAAATAGTAGTGACTGAACATTTTATAAATATTGAATGAGACAGTTAGCCAATTATGTTGTTTTTAAGTATTGATTTAGTACACATTTAACGTACTGACTATAGTTTTTGCTTTTATGTATAATTTGCAAGACATACTTTTGGAATTTATTGATGTTTTATATGTAAAACACTTATTGGTATTTCATTTCTTTAACCAATATATTGTATAACAATTATGCACCCTGAAATCTCTAAATAATAATGAAGAATAATTTCATGTTTAGCTTTATAAGTTGATTTGTCTGCTAAAGTTTAAAGGATCTACGTTTAAGTAGTTGTGTTTATTTATTACTATTCTTACCTTTCTGTAGATATGTTCACGAATCTTTGTCTAGAGCTTGTTGATTGGTGACTGAAACTTTATGCATATAGGCTTGATAAATAATAGTCTTACCATTTCGAAAAACTAATGCTTACTAGAGAAAGGTCACTCTTTATTATATTAAGGAGCCAATGGTATCTAGTGGGAATGAGAGATGATATCCACTTTTGAAGAAGTTTTACAAACATTGATTAAAAAAAACGTTCTTTTGACGGTAATTAGGCTGATCCTCTTGCCTCTGCAGTGTCTATTTTCATCGGTGCCCACCACGGGTATCGAAACGCGGTTTTTAGCGTTACAAGCCTTCGGACTTTCCGCTGTGCCACTGGAGGGGGGGGATGCATACATTAAATAGATGAGGAGAAAGAAGAGACTAGGATATAATGATGTGATATCACAGAAGAGTCCAAAACGCCATCTATTCAACACTTAAAGCATAATCCAGTGTTTAGAACCCATTCAGTCATCTAAATATTTTTGAAAAACCGTTCTACAATTAATTAGACAAGAAGCCAAACATTGTAGCAGCAAAAATAAGCATTATAAATTCCACATTAAAATAAAATCACCGAAAGATATTTGTTCTCCTTAAAATTTACAAATCAGGTTCTTCCTAATTGTTTGTTCAAAAATCATACTTGTCAACATCCAAATAATGAACGCTAAGAATATCTTAATGATAATGTTAGGAATAAATGACCCCAGTATATTAATGGATTAGATTAAATTGATATATAACTACATCATTTAAAATCCTAGAAAAAAAAAATACACAATCAATACACTTGTCAGTACATAAAGATCCTTGTGTCATAAATCTGACGTGTTACGGTTTTATTTTTCATATCTCTCGTTTCAGTTTTAGTTAACATCAGGAACCGATTCTGTTTGGGAGTTGTTTACATATGAATAAGACTAGGAGACTTAAGGCGACTACTGAGCATGCGTCATCACTTTCCACGCTGTGGAATAGTCATGTTTAGTTCGTACTCCAAATGTTATCTTACTTTCATTAGGATTATACGTTATTTGTGAAGCGTGTTGTGTTAGCGTGAATGGAGACGCGTAGCGATTGGCTGTTATTGTGAGTGCACTTTTTATTATTATTTATCTTGTGAAGCGTGTTGTGTTAGCGTGAATGGAGACGCGTAGCGATTGGCTGTTATTGTGAGTGCACTTTTTATTATTATTTATCTTGCAATAAGGCTAGCTAATAGGATGGCGATCTGCTGACACGCTTTCATTCTAAACTAACAGCAAGAAGTCTTGCATCCTGGGCTTTTAACTAGTTGTAAAATAACATGTTTTGTTAACATTTTAGAAACAGCTCAGGTCAGAGACTATCGCGTCTGTTTATTTTAGTCGTAGTTCCTCATAAACTCTTCTATATTGTAAATGCGTCGGTTCTTGATATATGAGTAACTACACGATTCAGAATATCAGAGTTGATTTTCATATGGATGTGATGTTTTGGATTATTTTTAAAACGTTTTCCTCCTATATTTGGGAGAAATTATCGAAAGCCTGGCTCTGAAAACTGGTTTCAAAGACTGAAAACATTAATTATCCACGAGAGTAAAGTCACAAGTTTATATGACCCAACACGAGAGTAAAGTCACAAGTTTATATGACCCAACACGAGAGTAAAGTCACAGGTTTATATGACCCAACACGAGAGTAAAGTCACAGGTTTATATGACCCAACACGAGAGTAAAGTCATAGGT